TTGCCTCTAGCCTCTTTGCAGGGAGTTCTGCTGAAGGGTTCAGTGCTGGGCCTGCACTCTGGGTCAAAAGAGGATCCGTGGGCCCCGGTTCGTCTCACTCACTCCTCAGGCCTGGGCTCTGGGTCTATTCAGGATCCCATGGGCCCTGAGTTGTCTAACTCACTGCTGGGCCTGCGCTCTGGGTCTGTTGGGGATCCTGCACCCCGGTCTTCTCACTCACTCACAGGGCCTGCGCTCCCGGTCTGTTCAGGATCCGGCGGCCCTTGGTGGTCTCACTCACTCGCAGGGCCTGCGCTCTCGGTCTGTTCAGGATCCCGCGGCCCTGGGTCCTCTCACTCACTCTCCCGGCCTGCGCTCTGGGTCTGTTCAGGTTCTCGAGATAAAATCTCAGTGTTGTTTTAATTTGCATTTCTCAAATGACCTCTGATGATGAACATTTTTCATATATTTACTTGCCATTTGTATTTCTTTCTCTGAGAAGTATATGTTCATCTCAGATTCCCTTTTTTGTATTGAGTCTTTGAGTTTTGGGGAACTGATTTTTAAAAATTTTTTATATGTTGTAGATATAAGGCCTTTATCAGAGAGCAGTTGGCTATAATTTTTTCTCAGTTTGTGGGTTTTCTTTTTACTCTATTGATTTCTTTTGACATGCAGAAACTTTTCAAATAGATGAGATCCCAGTTGTTGATTCTTTGAAGTATTTCCCATGCATTTGGGTATATTAAATTCAATAGAATAGTAGCAATCTGATATTTTTATGAGAAGAGAATTTGAGAATACATAGAAAATGGATCTTAACAATGTTGTGTGATTTTCCTATAACAAAACTTTGACTGACTCGTGACAGGCATCCTTATTGCTTAGGTTGTGGTCTTGGAGAAACACTTTCTCTAAGAGAAGCATGGATTTCTTAGGGGTACTGGCTCCTTTCAGGCCTGAGGCTGCATATTTTCATAATTAACCTGGAACAGGAAGGAAGGTTCCTACCCAGTAGCTGTTATTTACATGTCAGAAGCTCCGAGACAGTGTGAAGAATCTTCCACTTGAGAAAGATAGGACGGTTTGAGTATCATGAAGAAAATATCTGTGTTGGATGGAATATCTTTAAATTTGTGAGTTCATGTTGGTCCCATTAAGAATGCATTAGTTATATTTCAGCTCACGAGTTACGGTGCCTGTGGACTCATGTATGCACATTGCTGTACCCACACACCACTGCCACCACCTGTAGCTATGTGGAAAACCTCTAAGAATTCTAGTAAACTTGATTTTAGTACAAGAATTCTAGTAATCTACTAAACTTGATTTTTACTAAAAATGCTGATAAGGAGAGAATCAAAGAGTTTCCTTTTTCTTATGATGACCAAATAGTAGATACGGTAAAACTTCTCTTTAAACTGTTTTCCAGTAAATAAATAGTATCATTGGAATAATACCACTATTTTGTAACCCCTAAGGAATTAGTGCATTTAGCATATGCCTCAGAGGCTGCTACCATCATAGAAAGGAACACTAGTTACTATGTTTGCCGATCTTATCAACTCCTGAATTGTCTTGTGCAAAAAGCGCACATGAACCTGATTAAGTTTCTAGATACAAATTCTGATTTTCCAAGAAATACAGGGAAAGATTGCCATGCTCATCTATAGTTCTGGGGTGTAAGTAACAAACTCAAGATTGTGCGCAACTCTGTTGGACAAATTAAGTGATGGGACCTAAAGATAGTTTCTGATATAGGCAATAAAACTATTAGCTATAAGGATGATACCATAAAACTCAGGCAAGTGGTTACTTGTAGAGAGAAGTGTTTCTGAGGGGGAAATGTGAATGGTTTTTAGGTAGCTGTGAAGATTATCTCTGTTAAGGGTGATGTATATGATGGTTCATGAACCTGCGCCTTTGTTGCCTATGGTTCTCTGTTTTGAGATACAGTAATACTGCCGCAAAGCTTTTAAGTGAGGATGAGACATTTAAAGAAATCATTGAATTTTAGTATTTTAATTTACTAATGTAAATTAATTTATACACTATATTTTGTAATTAAAATTAATTTAAGATTTAATTTAAAGTTACTCGTCAAGTTTTCCTAGGAAATAAAGGAAGGACAGGTAGTGTTAAAGAATTTAGTTGAAAGTTTAAGAGTTACAAACAGCAACTAGGGACACAAATCAAAGATTCAGGAGAGCCACGTGCAAGGACTTTCGGCATGTGGGTGATTTGTCATCTCTGGTACACGCTGTTGCCCTCACACTGCAAAATGCAGTAAGCGGGCTGTATGCTGGCCATGCCTGTGTGTGTACGCTATTTTCAAAATGCTTTTATATGTGTTATTCAATAAAAACTGTAGATGAAGCCAGATGTGGGGACACATGCCGACAATCCCAGCACATAGGGAGGCTGAGGCAGGAGAAAGGTAGGTTCTAGGTGGTCCAGGGCAGCTTCGAGCTTGGCTAGACCCTGGGGCAGGAAAAGAGCTGAAGGATGTGGCTCAGCGCAAAAGCTTTGAGAAAGGCCTTGAAAAATTCAATGGTGATGACAGTTTGACAAGTCTGAAGTAAATTAAATTCTCTCTTTTTGTTTCCTGCCAGAGGTCTTTTTATTAGTATCCATGATCGGGGGCATATTGCTTCAGTTCTAAATGCATGGCCAGAAAATGTTGTTAAGGTAAGTTACCAGATTTTTCCCGTGAGGCAGTTTCTTTCTCTGTCTCAAAGCAGTTGAGATGATAGTGACAGTTCTCATGCCTACAAGATAGGATTCACCGCCTTTGACAGTGGCTATCACATAATTTAGATTCATTTTATGTTTGCATAGTGAATTAATTATATTCTAAAGCTATTTAGAGACTAGTTTTTTCCATTATTTCTTGATATTTATTTATTCATTAAAAGTGATTATATATACGATGTGCTTAACATCTGAATTTCTTTATGTCAAACCCATAATCATACCTGCTGTGTTTATCCACCCACTAAGAGGAGCCCATGTAGGCAAAAGAAATCTGTTAATACTTTTGTTTCATCATTGTGTCCTAAATAGCTCTGTGAGTAAGCTAACAAAAATAAACTAAGTACCAGACATGTAGCAGCTTTCTGGGGCAGACACTGGAGTGGGCCACTTGCAACTTGTAGTGAGGAAAGGGTGGCACAGACGAGTGGTGTGTGATCTTGGGACGCTCACTGCAGGATGCAGAGCTGGCCCCAAACGCCCAGCGCTTGGACACCACGCTCCGCCATTTTCCTTGCCTACGGGGGAGGAGATGACCCTCACTCACCTTTCACTTTCTCTTTTACCCCTTTTTTCCTGCTGGGTACCCATCAACTTAGGGGTATCTTTTAGGACTCAGATGGAATAAACCAATGTCTTTTAGTGAAATAGAAGCACTGCTTCAGCCCTGACTTCTGAAGTTTGACTCATTTTAATGATCTGTTAAAGCAGTTGGGACCAGAATTGCCAATTGGGTCACTAAGCTTCGTGCTAAAGCATTTTTCACTATTCCCACTTTCTGCAGTTTTTTCATTTTCTTCTGACTTGCTCTCTCAACTCCTCTCTCCCGCCAACTAAATTACTATCCGCAGATCTTGTTCTTCGCAACTATTCTATAAATGTGTTAATCGTATAAGTCATAAATGTGTGATGATCTAAGAAGGATATTTATATTTTAACCAAGAATCTAGAGATTTGAGTGACTGAATCAGTAGATAAAATAGTACCTTGTTATGCTGTTGTTCAGTAAACTGTCATCCAGCTCGGTCATCCAACTATCTGAGCTCTATGTGTTTAACTTTATTAATAGGCTGGCTTCATCTTTGGGCTCTTAATATTGAGCCCTCACTGAAGTTCTTAACTTTGCCCATTTTTTTTCAAAACCAAGTTTGGCATGTGGCACATAGTAGGCGCTTAGTAAGTGGTAGCTCCTGATTATTATAGAATACTGAAGTCTAAATTACATTTTTTATTTTCTAGCTGTAAGCGCATGTTAGATAGAACATAATAGGTTGTGTGCTGCACTGTAAATGCCATATTTCATTCATCCAGAGAAGGCTTGAATAGTCAGAAAACTTTTCTAGCAGAGTTGGAATTTAAGTCCAAACTAAAGTCCAAATTAGAGAAGTAGATACTATGATAAGAAGGAAATGTGTGGCTGGGCGTGGTGGCGTACACCAGTTTCGCAGCACTCTGGAGGCTCAGGCAAGAGGATCATTGTGCGTTTGAGACCAGCCTGGGCTACAAAGTGAGCGCAAGGCTAGCCTGAACTGCATAGTGAGACCCTGTCTCAAAGAAACAAAATTTTTTTTTTGTAAAGGGTCAGGGACTGGGGAGATAGCTTGGTGGTGTAAGAGCCTACTTGGCAAGCACTAGGACCCAGGTTCGATCCCCATTTCCCCATGCCATCCTGGCCTCAGAACCGTAGGTGCTGAGCCAGCCACCAAAATTGGGTGTGATGGTGCACCCTAGTAATGCCAGCTGTGGGGCGGCTGAGACAGGACAATCACTGTGAGTCAGCTGTGTAGCTAGACCCTGTACCAAATAATTTAAAAAATTATAAATGAAAGGGCCAGTATTGTAGATCAGTACCAAAAATAAATGATTATTATTATTTTTTTTTTTTTCTCATTAAACGTTTTATTCATGTGACCCCGGAACCCCACAGAATCAAAATCAACCCAGTTAAACCCAGCCCGCCTGGCAACCCTCCTCCTCGTGGCCCGGCTCCGGGGTGAAGCGCTGCAGGACGGCTGCGGCCGCATGGCGTCCAGGCTGGACGGGCGCCTTGCTCACACAGCGAAATGATTATTTTATTAAAGAAGGAAACATACAATGGTTTGATTTCTAAATTTCTGTGTAAAAACATTTAATTTTTTTTTTTTTTCACATTCTATAGGGATTTAAAGTTTAGAATATTGGGGCCAGGGAGATAGCTCAGTAGAATAAGTGCTTGCCTGGCAAGCACAAGGGCCTGAGTTCAATTCCCAATTCCGCAAAAAAAAAAAAAAAAAAAAAAAGGTTTGGAATATCCATGGTTGTTGGAAAATAGCAGTTTCCTCTTATGTCTAAGGTGTTTAATATTCAGACAGGTAGTGATGTTAAACTCAACTGCCTCTGTTACAGGGTAGTAATATCATTAAGCTTCTCTTCTGGATAGTTAACAACTAAAGTCTGCAGACTAAAAATTAGAGAAATAGCAGGGCTACAAAGATAGCCAATATTTTGGCCCTAGCCCTTCAAGGTCAGTGAAGACTCAGGACATAAGAGAACCTGTACTGTAACATCCTATAACCCAGTGGGGTCTCATTTTCTGATCAAGGAGAATATGGGGCCACAGAGGAAAGTGATTGACAATGTAAAGTGTGCCTAAGGAGAGTCACCTAGAGAGAAAACATTCTCTCAGGCTTTCACAGAGAGCAAATTGGTCAAGCAATGGCCATGACTCATCCACATAGCTGACACTGACGGGGGATATACAAGATGCTATACATGGTTCCAGGGTAAATCTTGAGGGGATTTGACTTACCTTGTCAGATACAAAAGTTACATTTTTAGTTATATAGGTCTTGCTTTAACTTGGTCTTAAACATCCAGCAGAAAAGCATAACCACAAGGTATAAAAAGTAATACTATGTTAATATGCTGAACTGTAAAAGTCTCAAGTCAACAACTTCTGACAATTGCCAGTTCTTCCCATAGCCCACTACTATTATGGACTATTGGACTATGTTGGGTTATTGTGCTGAATTGAAGTACCTGCAATCTTTAGACTGGTTTCAAGTATGAAAAGATCCTTTGAAGACTTCTCCAAATACAGCTTCTCTAACTGTAGTGGGTCACTCATCTCTGACAAAACAAAACAAAAAGTGGGGATAAATCGGGAGCCCTGAAACTAGGAAATTGATGAAATATGTGTAGGTAGGACTTAGCCCAGTGCCTAAGGCAAACAAGCTACCTCACTCCCGAGATGAACGTCCTATCTGGTTAAGGTTAGCTCTCAGTTGCTAGACAGCCTAGTGTCATGCATTACTAACTTCACAAATGTGTAGATAAAGGACTATTTTGTTGTGGAAAAAAAAGAAAAGAAATATGTATACACCCACAAGAGGGTTAGCATAGATACACATCTACTTTCTCTTCGTTCATTGAGAATAAAAGTTTGTACTAATGTTGTTTAGACAAGACATCATGTCTGCATCTTGTCATCTGAATAAGTACTACGAAGGCAACGAGCATTTATTGACTGTTGTGTGCCAAATGCTGTGCTATGTGGTGGACACATCGGCCTCATTTTGTGCAGCTACTCTGCAAAGTACATTTTGTGCTTCCAATTTTGCAAAAATCTATTCATCTGTTCTGTGTAGGCTATCGTGGTAACTGACGGAGAGCGTATTCTTGGCTTGGGAGACCTTGGTTGTAACGGAATGGGCATCCCTGTGGGGAAACTGGCGCTGTACACCGCCTGTGGAGGGGTGGATCCTCAGCAGTGCCTGCCTGTCACTCTGGACGTGGGCACCGAAAATGAGGTAAGCATTATTAAGTATGTAAAACAGATGTATATCTTTAAAAATGGCACCAGTTTTTGCATTTTGATCTCATTCTGTAAATCACTTCTGAAATCTTACAAAATTTGTCCTCTATGTTCTGGTTCTCCCTTGGTACATGAATCTTTCCCTGAATTTCTAAAAGAAAGTTATTATTTTCATTGTCCTTTTCCTTACTGTGTTACCCAATTTTGTTTTTTTTATGTATTTGGTACAGTGCCTCACTACGTAGCTCAGACTTGTAGTGATCCTCCTGTTTTCAGCCTCTCCAGTGCAGGGATCACAGGCATGTGCCACCACACCCAGTCTCGGTGGCCGGCTCAGCGTGCCCGGGGATGGGGCCAGCGTGGCCTGTAGTGCCAGGAATCGAATCTTGGTCTCTGCACTGGCCCAAGCAGGCGCTTAGTCCACTGAGCTATATCACCAGCCATAATTCTTGTATAAGTAGATTCCTTAGTCTTTTATGATGCTTTGAAAAGCATTTACAGCATTTTTTTCTGCAGAATGTTTTACTTTAAGATAGCATAGTTTCCTTTTTATTCTCACATAGTGCAGAAATTAACCCTGTAGGACTTAGTAATTAGACAAAATCTTCTTGTTCTGAAAGTCTATATTGACTCTAGATGGTCTGAAAGTTAGGCTTCCTTATTCCTTTATCAGTATTAGGCAATCTTGAAGTGAGATAGTATGTTAGACAATTATATTCTTTATCTTATACATGAGAGTTTATAATTTTGAACTGTGTATGTAAATAGTAATTTAATTTTTATCAAAGGATACATTTTAATAAAAACAGATTGCTTCTCTGGCATTTTCTTTTGCTGTACCCAGAGGTATGGCCTTTAAATCAAAACTGATCTCTTTAAACAGCTGTACTACAATTACAAATGCCCGTTGAACACTGGGATCTCTGCTGTGGGGACTTGGGCTGCAGGCAGGGGCAAAGGGCTTGCCGGGCGTGCTACCGTCACCACAGTGATGAGCTACTGTTTGCTCATTGGTGATTACAAGTGTATGATAGCAGGAAGGCTGTTTACTTTTGCAGAGTTTTTGAATAACTTATACAGTGTACTTATTTTATCACAGTGTTTTCAGTTGATTTTTCTTAGGTTTCATCAGTAGATACAAATATAACCTATAAATAATAATAATTTTCTTCTCAGTTGTATCCCTGTTTTTCTTAGTGTTTATATTTTCACGTTCTGAGTAATGAAAAAGAAAATGGCAGTGATAAAAAGCATCTTGTCCTGTGAAGGTTGAAAGTGTCTGCAGTGTAGCCCCATTGCTTATCTAGATCTCGTCCAGCGGCGGCGAACCCCTTAGAGACTGCGCGCCCCGACTGCAGCCCAGAGCCCACTTGCTGATCGCCGAGAGCCAGCAGTGGGATTAAACCTGAGTGCTGAAGTTGTAATTTAGAAGGAGAGCAGCCTGGTGGCTTGTGTCACGTGCCAGCAGCAGGGAGGGCTGTGTGTGCGCTGCAGCCCGCATGTCGCAGGCTCCCTGTCATGGAGAGCACTGCCTTGAGTAGTTGGGGCATTAGAACTGTTGTGGAAAACTCAGTTTGCTGGGATTGACAAAGGATTTTTGTTCTGCATGAACATTTATGGAGCCTAACGTTTAGTAAGTGCTTGTGAAGTTTCAGTCACAATTCGGAGGACTCAGAGTGTGTGAATTGTGCCAAGTCTGTGGTGTACCTTTCCGTGAGGGACGTGAAGTACCAAGAGGGCTGCAGAACTAGGAAGTGATGGAGGTGGGGACCTGGGCAAGCACGAGAGTGCTCAGCTGTTTCTCACCATGTACCAGTTTTACCAGCTTTGGATACCAAGGTTAGGCTTTTTCAGAAAATGAAACATTAAACTTTTAACACTGTCTAGTATAGTTACTACAGTGCAAGAATTCCGTTAGCCCGAATGATGACATCCACAGTCTTAAGAGTTTAAGGCTTTGTTCTACTTAATTTAAATTTAAACCTATTTTCCTATTTGCTTTTGCTGTTAATATATATATATATATATATATATATATATATATATATATATATTCTTTTTTGCATTTGAATTAATGATAGTGACTGAAGAACTCTTTAAGTAGTCACATTTCGCTTTGATTGTGCAGACTGACCTGCGTTAAGTTAGGGCTTATGTTTTGGAATAAGCATAGAGGCTATGTGAGATTTGGATTAGCTTTGCTGGTCCTGACACTGGATAGAACTACTCCAGTTCATGCCTCTGGGGCGAATTGTTGGAGTTCAAAATATGTTAGGAACACTGACATTTTCTAGGCTGTCCTAGCCAAAACTTTCATGGAATGGAGGATAGAAGAGTACTTGAATTTAACTAGCTACTCAACTCTTAATTTCCTTGATTTAGTGATTCTTAAATTTTACTCTTTAGTTCTTTTAGAGAAAACGTTCCTACAGTAATGTTTTAATCTCCTTGCTTTTGTGGCTTTCTATCCTGTTTTATAACTAAGTGGCAACACCAGTCAGTTTCTTTTCTTTTTTCTTTGCAGTACTAGGGATTCTACCGACAGCTCACTCAGTGAGCTATGATCCTCCCATTTTTGTGGTTACAGTAAACATTTGTCTTCTTTAAATTTTTCTTTTTTTTGTTCACAATTTTGGTACTTTATTATTAATAAAGTTAAAGACACATTTATTCTACAACCTGTAGTAGGGATTTAGCATTTTTATTTGTCCACTTATCAACAAATGTTTTAGGTTTTCTACTTTTTAGGTACTATAATGTTGTGATGAAATCTGTATGACAATATTTATGGGAAGTTTTTCATTTCTGTTGGTTATATGCTTACGAGCACTGCTGGGCTGTAGGTGACGTTGGAGGAAGTCAGAAACTCTATCCGGAGCGTGCACACTGTCTGTACTGCTTCCCATGGCCACCAGCAGTGAGTGAAGGGCACGTCTCTCCACATTCCTGCCGGCACTGTGTCTTCTCTGCTACAGCCAGCCTAGCTGGTGTGAAGAGACACCTTACCGTGACTTCATTTCCACTGCCCGTGTGGCTGCTGATGAACAGAGTTAAATTTTTCATTTTTATCAGTATATACATTTGCAGTACGTAACGGTGCATTCACAGTAGAGGATTGGTACATGGGCATCGCAACACATCCCAGCTCCTTTAGCCCTCTCTCCACTCATTCCTTTTCTTTTTTTTCTTTTCTTTTGTACCAGGGATCAAACTCAGGACCTTACACTTGCCAGGCAGGTGCTTAAAGCCACTGAGCTATCTTCCCTCTTGCTCTTTTTCTTGCCCTTTTTAGTTTTCATTTTGAGGCAGATCTAAGTCACTTAGGCTGGATGTGAACTTGTTACCCTGCTGCCTCAGGCTCCCTCAGGGCTGGGATGACAGGCGTGAGCCACCTGTCTACTTCTGCATAGTTACTTATCCAGAAGAACATTATTAGCATACTCAAATAAAAATTAGATGTTTTAAAAAAGCAAACACCAAGTATTTTCTTCTTTCATCATAAATATCATTGCTGAGAAACAATGAAAATATAAACAGAATTAGTTTTTACTTTTTATATAGTCAGAGTTGCACGACTACTTCCAAATCTCTACAGATTTCGTTTTAAATGAAAGAAGTTTCACTGAGGCCGAGAGGTTCCTGGGTGTAAGTGTACTTTTACTCAGTCTGGGCACAGTGGTGCGTGTCTGTAGTCCCAGACACCGCCCAGAGGTGGCATGAGTCTTGGAGAGTCAGGCGGGCTGTGTAGAGAGAGACCCTGTTTAAAGAACACTTTAAGTCAGGAAGAAAATGTGAAATGTCCAGTGTATAAAATGCCTAGGGATACGTGGACAGAGATAATTTGCAAATGAAGAAATAAAAACGGTTAATAAGCTGATGAAAATACGTCCAACACAAAGAGTTCTGGTGTGCCATTGCACTGTAGGGTTTCTGTGGATAACAGTACGTACTGTATATTTTAGAAAGGTGGAAGAGAGATTTTCAGTGACTATACCATGCAGAAATAATAAGTATTTCAGGGGACAGGTCTGCTTTGACCTGGAGTAAACAGCTCACAATACATTCATGCATCAGGACATCACGTGGTACCCCATTAAGAATTTTATGTTTTTATGTCAGAATAATTTGTAAAAGATAACATAATTAAAAAGCTGAATTATACCAGAAAAATATAAATGAATGATTCTTGATAAATTTTTGTGCTACTTTATATACACGCAGATAGCAGATATTAATAATACATTTAAAAAAAATCTTTATCCTGTACAGGGTCTTGCTCTGCAGCTTAGCCTCATAGTGATCTTCCTGTCTCAGCCTCCCCAGCGCTGCGCTTACAGGCGCGCAGCACCATGCCTCGTTATGGTGGCTGGCACGGGGCGCCCGCGGTTCATGGCATGGGGTACTAGGATGGAGCCCAGGTCGTTGCACTTGTCAGGCAGGCGCTGAGACCACCGAGCTATCTCCCCAGCCAAGCAAATATACAAGTGTGTCATGTATTTATATTTCACACTCAAAATATATAAAAAATATAATATTTTACTGGTGGCTGCACAAAATAGATTTATATACCGTGGGTGTAATTTGTTCCATGTATGTTGAAGGAGAGCGTTTAATACAAGTGTTTGTCCTTCGAATGAAAACTTTCACCACCTACTACTATGTGAAAAGGGAGTATAGCACAGTCTGTGCTATTACTCCAGTTTTGTACAAATAAAGTCTGTGTATAAATGTGAAGAAAAGGCTCTAGAACAACATGCATAGTGGTATTTGTTTTCAATTTCAGTTTTTAGTATTCTCAAACATTCCTAGTAGCAAAAGTATCTTTCTCATGTTAAACAGAAAATAGTAAGAAATATTTTTTCATTCCCAGACATCAAATTGTAAGGCTAGAAATGTGAGAAACAAGAACAAAAGGAAAGAGGGCCAGTGAAATAGCTCAGCGGTCTAAAGTGCTTGCTTAGACAAGCTCAGGCAGGCGAGGGGACCGCACATTGA